CACATTTTCATGAATGATTACCGTACTCCCAGAGGCTATACAGCATACACCATTTACAATGTGTAGCCATCGGTGCGGTGGGAAGCAATCGTGATTAGTAATAAATTACATAACCATGGATCCATAAAACAGTTGACACCACACACAGAGTGGTTGTTAGATCAACCGTGGGGTCGGTGAGGCCGGCAGGCTTGAGAATACGGTGGGAGGTTCCCTCTTAAGAGGTTAGGCATAGATACTTCATAGTGGAAGGCGAGCTCAATTATTTATCCTCTCCTTTGAGCCCCCTTTGGTGACTTTCCTATACGCTATGCGAACACATCTACTTCGTTCTTTTCACAGTACCATTCTGTCTGGTACCTGAATTGAACTAAATGCAGAGAGATATCTCTATAATTGATCTGGTCTATCAGGAGAAGACCACCGGGAGAACCTCAACCACCAAGTCAATGGCAGCGTTGGGAAAGACAGGAGAGAGGGATCCGGTTTCACTACTTGTTACCACTACAAGCTCCAAGCACTTTTTGGTCCGTCCAACCCTCGATAACGCCAGGCCACAACGGACAGACTGGTTTCTTCGCCTTCAAAAGTTCGATCCCGATACCGATAAAACAACTCTCCCCATGACCAGTTTTTTTTGTTTTCCAAACCAAAATTTGCTTGGACGTTGGTATCTTTTTGTGACAATTGTACAATCCACGCTAAGAATTTCTGTGTAGGCGGGATTTTGCAGGCACGTCGTGCCTGCCTGCATATTTGGGCCTGGCACCACGTCCACCAACCTCTTCGCTCAGTAGAGACGTCTGTGATTTTTCTTGGGGGGGGGGGGGCGGAGGCGGTTTGGGCGCCCGTTGTTTTCTTCACAACACCCTCCCTCCGCCAAAAAATACACATACAGAAAATTAACAGCTTTATTGCTATTGGCCAGTTCACCAAATTCCTTGTGGGAGTATTTCTACGTTTTAGGTTGGACTAACCACGGCCAATTAGAATTCCCAAGCGCATACGTGCAAAATGACATTCATGAGCTTTCTCCCATTGTTGGGAAACTCCAATCGACTGCTCTCTAGAGCACGGCGAGCATTAGACAACACCTTCTGCTTAAAGCACATACAAATCTTCAAGGTGCTCCATGATGGTGCTCCCAAGACCGTGGCCTCCCTCCTGCGTCCAGACCGTTGTGCCATTGTAATCTTCGTACAGACCTTGTTAAAAATTCCCCCAAGCACAATCCTCCCGGCCCCCCGCCCAAAACAGATCTCTCCATTTCGAAGCTTTTGTTCTGTACGCGACGCAGCAGACCCGCATACCGAGTTACCGGGGACGCCCATTGGACCCTAAAATGGCCTATGCGACCCAGTTCATTGTTTCAACGACAACACAGTCGCCCTCATGGCGAACACAACCTCACTCGTCCACCGTGCCCGTCAGCACACAGCTGCTGAGGAGCTCTGGCCCCCACGCCACCCTCTCCCATCCTCTCCCACCAGAGCGTGCGGTCCCTGCCATTTCCCTTCTTCCCGTATAAATCCTCTGCTGCAGGCCAAAGGAAGCGGTTCCCGTGGCCAGTTCCTTTTTCCCCTTGCGAGGCCATTTTCCTCCTCCCGTCTCGCGCTCTGTAAATGGCTCGCACACCGCGGTGCTGACCTCTGGGCCCGTCAGGCTTTTATAGCACACTGCGTACCGTACGTACGCCGTAAGTCACACACACATACTCACACACTGGCGTATAAACCACGTACATAGTACCAAAGGCCATAACTCCCAACTTTCTCCCGTGCAGAAGTTGCAATTGGTTTTTTTCGCTCTCTCTCTAATTTTTCTTCTTCTTCTCTTTGATTAATCCCCATACCCTTTTCCTCCTTCAGGCTACACACCGGGGATAATACTCGAGGTTACTAGTCGCTCCAGTTGTTTGCCCGTTTGATTGTGCTGCTGCCCCCATGACCTCCGAAGAACACACCCACCATTTCCACTCGCCTTTCAACTCCAACTGCGTTGTGACGCTCAAGAGGAAGGACGGTGTGGAGAACAATGGCACGGAGCTGGCTGCGATCACAGACCTGCTGACGTCCACGTTTGAGAAGTTCCAGGTGCTTGAGTCGTCCAGCGATGCACTCAAGGTGAAGTTCATCGACAAGGACGAAGCACATGGGCTGGAGAAGCTGCTGGGAGACAAGTTCCCAAGCTTAGCGGAGGCCTGGAACGTGTCGTTTGATTACGATGCGCTGACCCACCCGGGGAACATCTACGTTCGAGGATTGACCCATGACATCGATACCCAGGACTTGCACCAGCTGTTTGGCCCCTTTGGAACGATCATCTCGTGTAAGATTGTCACCGATGAGTTTGGAAGATCGCAGGGCTACGGGTTTGTCAACTTCAACAACGGCGCTTCGGCGGACGAGGCCATTGAGAAGCTGAACGGGCTGCTGGTGAATGGTTCCAAGCTCTACCTCAACCACCACATCGCAAAGAACGAGCGTTTGGAGAGAATCGACTATGAGAGACTACACTTTACAAACCTCTACGTCAAGAACTTGCCGGAGTCTTACAACGAGGACAAGTTGAAGACTCTCTTTGGAGATTTCGGAGAAGTCACGTCGGTTCTCTTGCCTGAGTCTAAGGACAAATCATCAACACAATCACCGGCACAATCTCCAGAGTCCTCCTCAGCTTCCCTACCGAACAGCGGCACAAGTGGCCAGTCTGCAAAGAGATTCGGCTTCGTCGGGTTGAAAACCCACCAGGCCGCGCTGAAGGCCATCGAAGCACTCAACGGCAAGGAAGTCGAGCCAGGTTGTGAGATCTTTGTCTCGAGGGCGTATAGTCGTGATGAACGTAGACACGCTTCCCATTCACCACCGGCGATGAATGTGCCAGCGCAGCACTACCTGCCTATGGTGCACACGCCTGTTGTGCCAATGATGCAGCCTATGGTTCAATCTCCGCAACAACAAAGTACTTCGTTGAACTCGCCAACAATGGCAACGACTTTCCTCCCGCTGCCAGGCCCGCACCAACAGCAGTCCAACTTGTACGTGAAGAACCTCACCCCTGCTATCGATGATGATGCGCTGTATTCGGCCTTTGCTCCATACGGGATTATCGTGTCAGCAAAGATCATGACGGCGGAGGACGGTTCCCCAAGAGGATTTGGATTCGTCTGCTACAAGACGGTTCAAGAGGCTTCGAGAGCACTCGTTGCTATGAACGATTCTGTGCTGGATGGCCAGGTGATCCACGTCTCCTTTGCTCAGCGCAATAAGAGGAAGCCAAGGGGCTATAACAATGCTGGTACTAATGGTGTTATAAATGGAGGTAACGGTTACAGAGTTAACGGTTACAACAACTATCAGTACTATTACCAGGTGCCTCAAGGCCAGAACCAGTTCTCCTATAACCAGCAGTACGTGCCATACGCCAATGGCGGTAACAGATACAATGCCAACGGATTCAAGACGAAGAAGTACACACAACAACAGGAGCAGGAAACACAACTCTCAGAGACCAAGCTGAATGATCACGATCTCAGCATTGTCGAATTGAGTGCCGAAGTTGCCAGTGCACCGTCCGATGATGAGAAGAGGGCCAAAGTGCTGGAGGTGTTGATTCTACCAAGCTTGAGAAAACAAGGAAAGTCCGAGGAACAGGGCGATGCTGTTCTCGATAAGCTCTTACAGCAGTACCAGAATGGTAATGGTGGAAGCACAGATGAGAAGCAGGACTTCTGGCTCGATATGATCAACGATTGGGCTAATGAAGACAAGCTTCTCAAGCAGCTGAACGAGCTAAGCGTGTGATCTCTTTTGTCGAAGAGGCTTGGTTTAAATCAAGAGGAGCAAAATACACCCATAAATGGGGAAAATGTACATAGAGTGATGGATGCTGGATCCTGGTCAGCTTCTCTGAGAGAAGTTCATAGAGGAAGGCTTATATACCATTAATGGGAGGATGCATGTTTGATTTTAATTCGTTGATGCTTTTTTTGTTCTTCATTCACTTCACACTTGTAGAAAACCTGTACATGATGTATATTGGACTATATAAATAAAATGTGTTTTAGAGATTCATTCACGTCATTAGATCGATGGTGGGGGTGGGAGATCCTGCTGTTGCTGCTGTTGTTCTTTGGCAAGCTTTATTGCTTCGAGCGGATCCTTTTCATTCTCTTCCTCAATTTGCTTCACCTCCTCGACCTCCTCGATGTAATGCTTCAACATAGATTCGATACCGTTCTTCAAAGTGACAGATGAAGAGTCACAACTACGACAAGCACCCATAAGCTTGAGCCACACAGTACCGCTATCTTCTTCGTACTTGACAAACTCAATGTCACCGCCGTCTTCTTGAATAGCTGGTCTTATTCTGGTGAAGATCAGCTCTTTGATCATGCTCACAACGTCATCATCATCTTCATCATATGCAGTGTCCTTGGGTAATTCGCTCTGATCGAAAAGTGGCTCGCCACTGGTCAAAGATTCAGTCAAAATGGAAAACACTTCTGGCTTGATCAACATCCAGTTATAGTTTGGTCTCTTCTCAACGGTGATGAAGTTACCACCAAACATCACAGTTTTAACCCCATCAACTGCAAACAACTTTCTTGCAAGGGGACTGGCAGCAGCTTCGCGTCCACTGGTGTACTCTATAGTATCGCCTTCTGGAAGAATCGTCTGTGACGGAAGAAACTTGAGTGCGTGATCGTTAGGTGTGTCTTCAGTCTGGATGAAAAGAGACCTCAAAGAGAGAATCTGACGATTGGCAAGCGATGACGGTCTTAGCGACTTTGTTGTGAATCTTGAGAGGAACATAGCTAGCGATATGGATAGTGCAAAGGGGCAAAGGATGGATGTTCAGGTATGGCGTAAAATGTGTGGGCATATCACTGAGGTTACTTTCTTCCTTTTTTCTTTTGTTTTTTAACCGTACACACCCGGACACACATAGTTAACACATCACAATATACTACAACAGGTATAACAACGATGGTGACATTAACATTCAGATTAAATGGGACGTAATTAATTAGGTTTATCATACGAAATCAGCACTGTTGATTTCAGAGCGTTCGCACATCTGTCTGAATACACCGTTCTTCGAGTACAATTCTCTTGGTGTATCGAACTCTTCAACTTCACCTTTCTCCAACACCAGGATACGGTCATAGGTTAAGATCGTTTTCAATCTATGTGCAATACACAAGATTGTGCAGTGAGAGAACTCCGTTGAAATGGTTTTCTGGATCTTGGAATCAGTTTCATAATCCACACTTGAAGTTGCCTCGTCCAAGATGAGAATTTTGGAGTTACGCACCAGAGCACGCGCAAGGGCGATGAGCTGACGTTCTCCGAGAGAAAAGTTTGCACCTTCATCTTCAACTGTTTGGTCCAGGTGGAACTTGTGGAAATTCGGATCATCTTTGCTTTGTGATTTGATGGTGTTGAGAATGGAACCTTCAACCAAGCCAGATCTTCTTAGTGCGTCCCACAGCGTTTCATCATCGTTTTGTCCAAATGGATCCAAATTCTTTCTTATAGTTCCTCTAAACAACACAGGATCTTGTGGAATAATCGCCAGCTTTGATCTGAGATCGTAAAGACCAAGCTGAGAAATTTCAACATCATCTATAGTGATAGATCCTTCTGCAAGTTCCGTTAAACGGTACAATGCATTCATAATGGTGGACTTACCAGCACCAGTTCTACCACAGATACCGATCTTTTCACCACCTTTAACAGAAATGGTCAAATCTTTGAGAACTAGTGGTAGCCCCTCTCTATATCTCATGGAAGCATGTTTGAATTCAATCGCACCATGTTCTGGCCACGTTGGTCTAGGTTTGGTCTCATTCATAATATATGGTGCTTCTTGTTCTAGCTTGTTGGCATAATGGCACAATCTCTCCACAGAGTTCATTTCGTTCTCAACAGTGGTGTAAGCCCTCATAATTAGCGACATTAGACCCCCAATTTGCAAAACACTAGTAACAACCAAACCAACTGAAGATGCGTTGATATCGAAAACTCTAAAGACAGATAACATCGAGATGAGGAAAACAAAACAACAAGACACGAGATCCAAGTTGACAGAGATCCATCTCTGGTTGGCAATAACAAGAAGGTAAGCTTCGTTCATACGGTTAAGCAGTCTCTTGTTTTTCTCCATAAACCTGCTTGTTGCGTTGTATGCTTTCAACGTCTGTAAACCGTTGAGCACCTCGTTGAAGTTATTATAAACCAATGATCTTTGAATAGCTTCAATACGTTTAACCTCACGGGATGATGCAATGTAAAAGTTTGTGATGAATGTGAACAGTATTGCCAACGGAGGAATTGCAATGGCAAACCAAGGAATATATATGATACACAGAATCAAAACACCAATGACATATGCAGCTGGATGGAGGAACATTCTAGCTTGCTCACCAATTTCATTGTCCAACACATCGGTATCCTTTGTGAATCTATTCAAAATACGACCCATTGGTGTGACATCGAGGAAGTGCATAGGGGTATGCAGGACACGCTTCATGGCTTTAAGATTTAGTCTTCTTGCAGCAGTGGAGGAGAAATAACCCATAACAACGAATTCAGCAGTGATCCATATGACACTGAGGATGACGAACATCACGTAAAGACCAATGTAGAACCCATCTGAACGAGCCTTAAACTTATGGCTAATCCAGAAAGAAAGCCAAACATTGACAAAGATTGAAGTGAACACATCCAGAACAAGAAGCATTATAATGGTTGGAATAGCGAAAATTCCCAACTTACCACGACCCTCATGAAGGTATTCTTTGTAGATATCCCACTCAATACCATTGACAGCTCTTTCTTCTTGACCTATCAACACACCGGCATGTGCATCCTGCTCTTGTACCACACTTACAGCCTTCTGAAGGGATACGTCTTTCTCGTTAGCAGCTTCAACGTTTTCCTCTTCTTCCGATTCAGATTTTTTCGAAAACTTCATCAATTTGAGAAATCCTTCATTTGATTCAAGCAGCTCTTGAACTGTACCAATATGAATAGTGCCGTCTCCATTGAGATAAATGACACGATCTGCAGCTTCAATAAGACTCAACTGATGCGTAGCAAGAATTCTGGTTTTATCACCAAGGAATGATGTGAGACAATCATCAACGATAAGTTTGCCGACACGGGCATCAACTGCACTAAGAACATCATCTAGTAAGATGATATCCTTGTTGGCATACACAGCTCTAGCTAAATTGATTCTTGCCTTTTGACCACCAGAAAGTGTGATTCCACGCTCACCAATTTCGGTTTGATCACCAGCAGTGAACATCTTCAAGTCATCACCGAGGGCACATACCTCAACAACCCGATCATAACGATCTTTATCGTATTCTAGTCCAAAAAGAATGTTGTCCCTCACTGTACAATTTTGAACCCACGGTTGGCCACAGAGAAGCATTGTTCCATTAACACCTAATGTACCAGTGGTTTTCTTCATGAACCCTGCAAGGGCTACAAGTAGAGAGGACTTTCCTGAACCGATTGGCCCAGTGATTATGACAAACTCTCCCTTTTTGATGGTGAGATTGATGTCGCTGAACCCTTCGAACACAGATTTAATATACTCGCCATCTGCGGAATCAGTGGACTTATCAATATGTGAAGAATCTGTCAAAGATGACTTTGAGGTAACGACAACTTCTTTAGTTTTTTCAGAATTTCCATCATTGTCGTCAGCATCATCAAACTTTTCCCAGATAAAGGATGCATTATTCAATTCCACTGCAACGTTATCTGGCAATACCACGTCTCTATCTCCAGGCTTTTCATGGTCTTCATATTCCTTCTCTATATCACCAGATTGTAAGTACTGACGGAGTCTCTCCAATCCAATTTTTGCATCAGCACCTGTAGCAAGAGCCATTGGAAGCATCATCGTCTGCTGTGCAAGGACACTGAACAGGGAGATAGATGAGAATATGTTACCTGGGTTTTTATCATTGGAAACACCATAAAGAACCAGGAAGGCCACCATGGAGATGATCGCAGGTAGAGAGAGGGAGAGGGCCAACAAGAAATTTCTGATAGATTGCATCTTGAGAATGATGCTCATTTCGCTATTTCTCTCAGTAACAACAGATTTCTCATATGCATCTTCCCATGAATAAAACTTGATGATCCTCATATTTTGCAAGATTTCACGCATATACGAGATTCTTGCATCTGTATACTGGTTTGCGCCCTTTCTCATCTTCAGCAGAGATTTCGAACTAGCACTGATAACGACAATACACACGAGGAACACAGCTATGCCCGCTAATGCTGAGACACCAATGTTAACGATCAACAGGGCAATAGCAACACCTATCGGCACAGGCACCGTTATAGCGAACGGCTGGAACCCAATAGCCAAATCTATTCTTGCCAAGTCGGTCGACATCAGCGACGTCACTCTTCCACTTGGATATTCATGCTTCGATTTCGCACTGGCCCTGAAGGATTTATTCATAATCGCCGTTGTCAGGACAGCTTTGCAATGAGCACCAACAGTCAAAGACAGGTACAGGAAATGGTTTATGAGTATACCCGACGTTCCAAGCATAAATGTGACACCAATGGCATAACCAACACCACGTCCTACTGACATGTCTGGGTTGTACATCTTCTCATCGACAAAGTTGATCAGTGCCTTGGACAACAGTGGATTCAACACCAGGACGATATCCGATAGCAGCTTCAAGAAAATTGACCATAGATACTTCCACTTGAACGTCAAAAACAGTGCCTTTATCACTGCGTTTTTGGGGTATTCCCTATTCTTCAGATCTTCATCTGTCAATGTAGGGTCCTTTTCCCGAGCCTTTGCACGATCTTTTTCCAATATCCTTGCCAAGTGCATCTCATAGTTGGAATATGTAGTCTCGATATCTTGCGAGTGTTCGAGGTAGTAGAAATCGTTAGGGTCCAAAGTTCTCTTATAACCAACACGAAGCAGCGGGTTCAACCACCAAAATAGGATCTGTGAGAGAGGGTTGGTCTTCAGATACGGGTACGGTTTCCGCTCATCTTCTTTAGGGATTGGAGGCACCTTCTTCGACAATAAGAAGGGCGTCAGCAATCTTCTCTGGAGTTGTGGTTCAGACCTCTCCAGGTCTTCGTCCGACCTCGGCGTACACTTCTCCGAACCAGGGGATGCCATCTCGCTTTATCGACTGATCAGAGTGTACGTGACTGTGTATTGACGAGGAAGAGCAAGGCTATGGTGCTGAAACGAAGTTTGGTGAAGTTTTCAACGCCCTCAAGCCCGTCCTGAAATCTTTCAGCAGGGCGAAGAGTGCCCTATTTGTATGCGCGGACGTTTAGAGGCGAAGATCGCAGCGAAGGACATAAGCGGCCACTCATTTAGGAATTATGGCCGGGATGATTCTTGCGCCCCTCTCCTCCCATGAAACGTCCCATTTCTCCCTACATTGTTATCGCAAAGATGGGATAACGAGTGAGATGCTCGACTAACTATGGTCATGGAGTACTGAGAAACACTGTCTGCGTAAAGTGGTCACGATGGAACATTGAGTTAGTCGTGGCGCTCTTCTGATTAATCCCGATTGTGAAGTGATGAGGTGATCTATTCGAGCAAGGGCAAAAACAACAAAACAGACTAAGCGTTTCCTATCAAATTTAGCTTATGTGCGTTAAGTGCCGCCGCAAACAGTCATAGCAGCCTTGTTGGGGCGCTAAGAGTCTCGCAGTGTGTTTTTTGTGACAAAGAGCCCACCGCGAGAACGTGTGCTCCGAGGCCGAACCGATCCAAATAGGGTAGTGAACACCGAGTGGTTGGGTATTATATTATAGACGCTGAACTAGAAGTCAATTGGACGAGGTGCAATTGTTTAACCGTGTGTGTTGGTGTTGAGTTGCTGGCCATGGATGTTAGAACAGTCCTGAGAGATGGATAAGAGTTGTTACAGGTATGGAGACAGCCTTTGAGATCCAGCTGGACTCAGCGCCTACGGGCGTCAATGATCGTATAGTCGAATGTGCGGTCTACTCTTGAACGGGTAGACGCTAGGGGGATATCATGGTTTGTGCCGGTTAGTGACAGGTGATTGATGGCCGATAACTCACGACTGACAGTGGATAGCCCATGGCTGACAGCCTAGACGGGAGCTTTCCACCAGGTACACCTGGGAATCACGTGACTCACCAAGAGGTGCAGAACGAAAACACATACACTGGCTCTCCTCCGGGTAACCCCAAGGCGCCTATGTGTATTAGCCCCCATTGTGGTGATTTTCCCACCTAAAAGGGGGGCCCTCCCCTACGTTCTCAAAGGGTTTTTCGTTTGTGTGGGATTTCGCGCGACCACAGAAGAGAACAACAACGCCAGTTCGAGACGTTTTATGTTTCTGAAAAACCACGTAGCACAAACTGCAACCTCATTTCAGCGGCCTCTCTGACAACGTCTCTTCGTCAACCTGTTAATAGCCACTGGAGATCGGACTCGTTCATCGTATTGGGACAGTGTACTTGAATGGTCTGCTAAAGGGAAGAGCAGACAAAGATAAAGAAGAAAACACCATCAGACATACATATAGACGACCCCAAGATGTCATTCAGAGGAACCAAATTCAACCAGATCCCAACTTCAAACCAGTTCAATCCACCGCAGACACAGTTTGGCCAACAGCAACAGCAGCCGAAGAAGAACTGGAAACAACAGTTCGAGCAATTGTCTGGGAAAGTGGAGGAAGCTTTGGATCACCCGGTGTTGAAAATAGTTCAACCGTATATTCCACAGATCGGAGGGTTTTTAATCGTTGCAACGTTTTTCGAGGATTCCATAAGAATCTTGTCACAATGGTCGGATCAGGTGTTTTACCTTTGGAACTATAGACACATCCCTTACTACCTTGTGATTGTTCTCTTGGTGCTTTGTGTTGTGACCATGTTGGCCGCTTCGACACTGATCGTTTTGAAGAAACACCAACTCTATGCTTCCGCGGCGTTGATAGCCATCGTCCTTGTCCAGGGACTCATGTATGGCCTGTTCATTGCGCCAAACTTCATTTTGAGAAATGTGTCTCTTGTTGGCGGGTTGTTGATCGCCCTCAGCGATACTCTTGTCAAGGAGAAAATGAGATTTGCCGGATTACCAGATATTCACTCCAACAACGCTTACAAGGGATATGTCCTATTAGCGGGAAGACTCATGTTGGTGTTTATGTTCTTCTCCTTCGCAGCAACCAAGAGCTGGCCAACAACGATAATCACCTTCATCGGGATCGTCTCTATCGCTGCAGGGTACAAGACAAAGTTCGCCTCCGTCATCCTCATCACCATCTTGACTTTCTACAACTTTACTCAAAACCCTTACTGGTCTGCAACGTCCGATTCCAAGAGAGACTTCCTCAGATACGAATTCTTCCAGACGTTATCCATCATTGGTGGGTTGCTGTTGGTTGTCAATACCGGTGCAGGCGAGTTGTCCATCGATGAGAAGAAGAAGATCTATTGATCAAAACAACACAAGACAACACCATTGCGGGTACATACATATCACACACATCACCAGACATATATGAGAACCTCCATAGTTTCTAATATAAGGATCTCAATTTTTCAACGCAAAGAAGTGCTATAATCCATAAACTAAACAACCTGTCTTGCATGGAGACAATTGAAATGTAAACAAACTGGGCAAAACCCCTGAGATAACTAAAATGTATTGTCTAACCACTGTTCACGCGATAATGGAACGTGGGCCGCCAGTAATTGGCTCACGTCCCCCCGTGCCATACTAAAATTTAGGCGATGCCAGCTTATTTTTCCTGAGGGAGGCGGGATGTACATAACTGCACTGTGGAATTTTCTGGCACTTTTTTGCGTACAGATTGTCATTTTTCCCTCTTCCAAACACAGCAAGCTGTGCTAACTCTACATCCAGTGCAAAAGTAAAGGGTCAATTGTTGTGATCTTTGCAGACCACTGCGGAAGCTTTAGACCTGTTTCACAGCCACTGCCTATAGAAATGGACATGGACTCATTGCCGATACGGTTGGAAGGGATCAAAGATGACGGTGTTGATAGTACTGTTGCATTATCCAAGACTCCACACTCAGCGGTAGATTTGTTCAAAGGAGTCTGGAGGCTGTCATGGCGGTTACTCCATAGAGTGGTTCTGCTCGTTCCTAATTTACTGATCAAGCTGCTACAGACGCGGTTCAGCTTCACGCTTCGGCTCTCATCGATACTGATCACACTTGGCGTGTGTTTTGTACTGGCGTTGCTGTTTATACGCTATAGAGCGCTGACAGGGTATTCGAAAGCCGTTGAAGAAAAGAGGGAGGTGAACCCAGTGGACACATTGATAGCATCACACGACAAGGATGAAAAGAGAAGGTTTGGAAGCTACTTGGACGAATTTCTCATTGCGATAAAGATATTTGGATACTTGGAGAAGCCGGTATTTAACGAATTGACACGGAGCATGCGCACTCAGAAATTGGAGAGGAACGAGGTGTTTGATCTGGACGATGATCTCGGCTTTGCTATAGTTGTTGAAGGTAATGTTCAGATATTCACCAAAGTTGATAAGAAGGATGCCCCCATCTCCAACGATGAGGAGTTTGGTGGTGAAACCCTCATACTGAACGACCATAGATACCAGTTGTTAAACGAGGTCAAGACGGGTAACCCACTATCGTCCTTGTTGAATATCTTGACTTTGTTCACAAATGATGAAGCTCACTCAATGGGTCTGAACTCGCCTTCCTTTAGACATAAGTCTTTGGACAATTCATGGATACCCGCTACAAAGGTTGATGACATTGCACCACTAAATCTAGACAATGAGGCAGTGTTATACGATGAGACACCACGAATTATAGCAAGGGCTACATCAGACTCAACTGTAGCGATTATTCCAGCAGATGCCTTCAAGAGGCTCAAGAGGAAACATCCAAGGGCATCTTCTCATATTGTTCAAATGATATTGACGAGATTATACAGGGTTACTTTCCAAACAGCCCACAATTATTTAGGATTAACCATGGAATTGTTTGAGACTGAAAAGAAGCTCAATAGCAATTCAAAGTTGGATTTGGAACCTTATCTCTACGAAGACATTATGAAGAGAACAACTGAGGATAAGGATACGATTGAAAGGGGAAGACAAGACATCCAACGACCAGCTTCCAGAAGATCACAGAATTCATCCACATCAGGGAGGGAATCAAGTGCACATATAAAAGCTCCTTTACTTGCAAGAACAGCATCACAGCACGTTGTGTTAGATTCAAGGGACTCTTTCAACCCAGGTGATTTGTTGTCGAACGTTCCACTATCAAGAAGACCATTATCATACTACCAATTGAAGGATACAGAGGCGAACAGATCCTTTTCATCCCATAATGAAACAAATGATACAAAGCTTTACAGATCTTTGGTTGAAGGTATCTTCAAGTTCTTAGGGATCACAGAAGAATCCTTAAAGCCAAAGAAAAGCTTCACAGGCAATAGCAGTACAATAAATAGTCCAAGCATTGCTGACATAGGATTATTTCATTCTTTTTCCACTCGTGAAAGTACACCGATATCTAATGGTTCCAACTCAACAAAGACCCGAACTTTTTCAATCAACAGTTCAAATGTCAACGATGATTACTCAAATGAACAGGTTGATTACGAAAGTGCTAAAAATGACTTTTCAGAGATAATTGAAATTAAAAGGTATGACACTGGTGCGATTTTAATTCAACAAAACTTGAAAACAACTGGTATCTATTACGTTGTCAGTGGTATTTTAGATGTGTCTTACAAAGATGAAGTCACAGGTAAAGAACATTTCATCTATGACGTTAAACCCGGTGGTGTTGCAGGGTACATGGGGTCGTTAATAGGTTACAAATCGTTTGTTACCGTCAAAGCACGCACTCCGGTTGTTGTGGGTTTCTGTTCAGATAAGGATGTCGAAAGATTATGCGAAAAGTATTTCATGATCTACTTAACAGTTGCAAGATCGCTGGTTCTCTCCTTGACCCCAAAGATTGCGAGACTCGACTCTGCACTCGAATGGATACAGTTGGATGGAGGTGAAACTTTGTTCAAACAGGGGACTTCTGCGAATGGTATTTACATCATCTTGAGTGGGCGTTTTAGGTCTATAAAGGAAGATCCATTCACGAAAGAGATTACAATGATGAGGGAGTACAGTAAAGGTGAAAGTTTTGGAGAAGTTGAGGTGCTTACCGCAGCAAAACGTTCATCAACGTTTGTTGCAGTTAGAGAGTCAGAAGCTGCTAGAATTCCAAGAACTTTGTTCGAGATATTATGTTTGGAGAACCCATCAATCATGATCAAAGTCTCCAGAATTGTTGCACATACGGTTAAAGAAGAGGCCCCCCAGAGTGGACTCAATGTTCCAACAAATTCTAAAGGTAATGGGCTGCAAAAAAATTACAAGACAATCACCATATTACCAAAGATCCAAGGAATCCCTGTGACTGAATTTGCATCCAAACTAATCCAGTCACTCAAGAATATTGGTGTCTCTGTTATAGGACTTGATCAATCTTCTACTTTAAATTATTTGGGAAAGTATGCATTTGATAAACTCTCCACCTTACGTCAGTCTGGATTCTTTTCAGATTTGGAAGAAAGGTATGAAATTGTTGTTTATATTGCTGATACTTCAGTGAACTCAAGTTGGACCAGTACTTGCATCCAACAAGGTGATTGTATCTTGTTACTCGCAGATGCTCTCTCTGATCCTGCAGTTGGAGAATATGAGAGATTATTACTCAAGACAAGAACCATGGCACACACAGAGCTAGTGTTGTTACATCCAGAGAAGTTTGTTGCTCCTGGATTAACAGCCAAATGGCTCAAGAGTAGAATCTGGGTTCATTCTCATCACCACATTCAGTTGACTCATAAGAACTTGGCTGTAGGTACACATAATGACCATATGACCTTTGCCGATAATATTAGAAGTACCGTGGAAACGTTCACGTCAAAGTATATGAACATGAATCACAAGAAATTCTACACATCTTCTTTACCACACAAGAACGATTTTATGAGATTGGCGAGATTGCTATCTGGTCAAGCAGTTGGACTTGTGCTTGGAGGTGGTGGTGCACGTGGATTCAGTCATTTAGGTGTCTTAAGAGCATTACAAGAGAACGGCATACCGATCGACATCATTGGTGGTACCTCTATTGGTGCTTTTATTGGTGGGTTATACGCCAAAGATTACGACTTGGTACCTATTTATGGAAGAGCAAAGAAGTTTGCAGGTCGTATTGGGTCTTCTTGGAGATTGTTGAGTGACCTAACCATCCCAATAACGTCTTATACCACAGGGCACGAATTCAACCGAGGTATCTGGAAATCGTTTGGCGATTCACGTATTGAAGATTTCTGGATTCCATACTTTTGCAATTCCACGAATATCACAAACTCTTGTATGGAGATCCATACATCAGGATTTGCGTGGAGGTTTATACGTGCTTCTATGTCACTCGCAGGGTTGCTTCCACCTATGACACATGATGGTTCCATGCTACTTGATGGTGGATACGTTGATAATCTCCCCGTGGAAGAGATGAAGAAGAGAGGTGTCTCAATCGTGTTTGCCGTTGATGTTGGGTCCGTTGATGATCGTACGCCAATGAAATATGGTGATTCGCTAAGCGGCTTATGGAACCTTGTCAACCGCTGGAACCCATTTTCTTCGTATCCTAATGTTCCTGCAATGTCAGAGATTCAGCTTCGTTTGTGCTATGTCGCCTCTGTCAATGCCTTGGAGAAGGCTAAGAGTACGCCAGGCGTGATCTATCTCCGGCCACCTATTGAAAACTATGCAACGTTAGACTTTGGCAAGTTCGATGAGATCTACAATGTTGGGTCTGTGTACGGACACATGGTCCTGAAAGAGCTCATTGACTCTAACAAGATGCCAAAGATTGCAGGCACTGGTGAATTAGAGAAGTCTCTTGCGCCGGTTATTCAAAGACGTAATAGTATTTAGAAAGCTTGATATCTACATGAGCTCATATTGTACAAACCGTAGTCATTATTTCTATAGTTTCATTGATCAGATGGGGATGTTACCAAGATCACCGAGTCACCTCTGACAAAGATAATTTCAGAGTTTTTTGTCGTTGACTGTAAACAACAGGGTCAGTATATATGGATAAAAACACACACAGAATGTAGAGATGATGGATGAATGTACTCACTTTCAGACCATTGGAGTCATCTGTATCATAAATTGTTTCGGTGGCATCACTTAGAACTATGTTACAATGCGAGTCGTACGCCTATAATAGTTAGTTAACTCAAGGTCTTTAAAAAGAGATATCACTGAAATACACTAGAGATACTCACTTGTAGTCTTCCTGTGATTTCTCTGGCACCACGAAGCTTCACAAAGACTTGTTCATCTAGGAGAAGTCTGATGAGATCCAAAGGCTCAGTAGGAGTTGAGGACATTTGGTATTGTAGAGAAGAATAAGAACAAGATACTGCCTCGTTGTCTGAGAGAATGTTGCTCTTTTTAATTCATTTGGTGGGTTTTTCCTTCGTTGTTGTGTCTGTTTTTTTTGCCGGAACTTCAACAAATGGTTATGAGCCATTGTGAAGGTGTGGTTATGAGCCTCCGGTGGGCTCATGGTTACGAGCGTCTGCACACAATTTCCGCTTGACTGAAGAAAAAAAGTTTCGACGACATTGGAGGAAGCAGTAAATAACAAGAGATTCATAGACACACAGTAAGATGATCACGTCCATCCAGAAGAGGGCACTTCATAGCTCTGCTAAATGTCTTGTGAGAGTTAAACCACCTCCACTTACAATCAGACCTCCAATTGCACCAACGGTGAAGAACTTTGAGGTCAATGATGACCATCCTCTTTGGCAATTCTTCCACGACAAGAAGTACTTGAGATCGTATGAGGACTTGGACAATGCCGGTAGACCATGGACTGTCCCAGAGTTGAGACGTAAGAGCTTTGATGACTTGCATAGTTTGTGGTATACCTGTCTTAAGGAGAGAAATATCTTAGCCAGAGAGATCCAAGTGCTCCAAGCGGAGATTGATCAACCTGACCAACAGTTCATGGCCGCCAGCGATAGAGTCCGTGAAACGATGTGGAGGATTAGACACGTTCTCAGTGAGCGTGCACATGCACAACAGAACGCCAGAGAGGTCTTTGAACAGAGCGAAGAGGAGCTACTTGACGACTTCAAGAAGTACTACTTGGATGCTTCGAAGGATGAAGATGCCGATGTGCAAGACGCACTGAAACGTTTGCAGTTGGCGGTCTTTGGTATAAGCGAGGTTATAGATGAGAACAAGGTGGACAAGCACTTCATCAAAGGTATCAAATTCATCTCAAACCTGAAATTGGAACGCTACTCATCCGATCACGAAAAGTATTCCGAGCTAACTCCCATAACAGATGCCGGTGAGGCACTTGTCATATTCCATGCTGAGCCAACTGCTGAGAGTCTGAATGAGAGTATCGATGCCGTATTGGAGATGAGACAAAATGGCGTTAGCGTTGATAGATACGATGAGATTGAGACTATTCAAGCATACTTGAACAAGCTATTGGAGGAGTAAATGAGTTTCTATTTCCCATAACCGTTGTTATAATTACCTGTATATAAATACTAAAAGAGAGAAAAAAGAACAAGTATATGTACATTCTTTTGTACAAGTCTCATGCAGTAGTTCTCACCCTCTTACGTCTATCAGCCCGAACAAGATTGACTTCTAATTGAATTTCTTCTTTAACCTCAACTTTTGGTCTCTTGTTCTGTTTCTTTGGAGAGCTGTTGGTTTGATTCAACCCATTTTCCAAGTCCTTCAAATCTGCTGCAAACATGACACTCTGCGCCCATCCAGCGTATGGCCCCCACTTATTCACAAAGAACTTACGAATCAACTCATAAGTCTTTGGAGTCACTGCATCGCCCTTTGAAGAGAGTTTGTAGTCCCTCTTGGCTATTTGGTAGACGTGTGTATCAACAGGGATAGCGTCGTGCTTATCCATAGACATTAGGCATATACAATCAGCAACCTTGGGCCCAACGCCTACAAATTTGATGAGCTCTGCGTGTGCTTCTTCATAGGGCAAATCTCTAATCTTGAACAGATCTTGGTTCTGAGAAGCCACCATCTGCGCAGTTTTGTGAATATATTTAGCCCTGTATCCAAAGCTCAAGTCTCTCAGCTTTGATTCAACATCATCCTTTGACAAAGCCTGTGGTGTTGGGAAAGTGTAATATTCAACTCCTTCGTGTTCCATGATGAGCTCACCGAAATGAACCGTCAAATTATCACACATCTGACTGATACGCTTCACGTTGTTATTCGATGAGCATATAAAAGAGATCAAATTCTCCCATGGGTTCTGTCTAAGCATTCTAACACCCTCAAACCCAACCGCCGTCTTTTGGAACACAGGGTCGTCCCTTGACCACTGCGTGTACAGCTCCTGGACCTTTATGTCCAGGTTAAAGTAGTCGCTAACCAGCTCCAGAGCCTTGGAGTCATATGGGTACGTAGCATAGTCGATGGTATCACCGTGCTGCCTCAAGAACAGCACTTTCGACCCTATAGAACACGACCATACGTCATTAATGTTCTTCCATCTACAGAGACTTGTTAGTTGGGAAGTCCCATACTGAGAGTAGCTTCTTTAACAAGACAAGAACTTACCTAAACGCCTGTCCACATCGCAGAACCTTTGCCAGCGAAAGCTCCAAAGGTGAGATCTTCATGCTTTCCCATACCAGCTTGACCATTTTGAGTCTGATTTTGTCTGTCTTTCTGCCAACGCTCTTCATTCTCTTCCATGAAACTTCCTTCTTTCTCTCCCAACAGTTTCACCTCATCTCAGCCCAACCCAGCCAGCGCGCCCTCGCACGCGTTCTTTTCGCACGCGCGCGCGTGAAAAAGTCGCCAGTATGGACAGAAGCCAGTGCTGAGCTTCAGGAAGGCGCGGTGTACAATTTTGTAACCAAAACAAAACAAACCGCCGCCAACAAATATACACAGGCCAAAGCGAAAGGTAAACAAAGAGAAGAGAATTCCACGGCGGTTGTTGCTGTGAAGGGAAACGAGAACTCTTTGTTGATCTGTTCACGGCGGCTGGTACGACTATTGGTTTGGGATTGTCGCCACTCGCCAGCGTTGTCTCTTTGGTGATTTATGTTGAGACTGTTGAGGAACACAAGATCATTCCCAATCACGAGGACGTTCTCTACGATGTCTAAGAAAGTGGATCATGATGACTTGTTGGTATTTGAAGACTCTGATTTCGAAGCAATTGACTCTACGGTGTCGATCGATGCCAATGATGCTGACCGCCTGGGGCTGCGATCGAGTCCTGTAAAGGGCCAGGACGACATTGATAAGGTTGATTGGGTTGAATCGAGTCCGGTGAAACCTCACAACAGACAATTCGAGGCTGATTTTGAAGACAGTTGGATAGATTCTGATGATTCGCAACAGCAAGGGGTGAATGGAGCTGAAACGATACTCTTCAAACTGTCCCAGTTATCACATCATTCTTCGACTCAAGATACTGCACAAATGTCTGGTAATGAAGTTGGGGCACAGATCTCTACACCAGATGCGATCTCAATATCTGCACCTGAGACTTCCTCTCCAGCATACCACAGAACTGAAACGCTGAATCCATACGCATGCAAGAAGCACCCTGTTCCAATAATACAAAGTGCAAGAGACCCACAATCGAAGACATCATGCAATCCACCTAATCCAAGACTGAAAGATGGCCTTTACCCAAGCCTGGATAGCTATGATGCTAGATATACACAACAAGAAACTCATTCCAAGCCACAAATAGATAGTACCACTTTATCTGGTCCTTCATCTCCTCCAAGTGTTGAGCAGTATACAGGACTCATTAAGGAATGTAAAGCCATGGGAGAGTTTGATCCTTCGATCATCGATAAAAAGAAAACTGGAATGGCATCTTTACAACCTTTGCTCAAACGTCGTAAATTACCGAACAGAGAACTGTTATTAATGACACAACGTACTACTATTGAATCCATGGGCTTATTAAGAAGAATGTCCTCCCTTTCTAAGGAGAAACCGAAGAGGGTCGAAGCATTAGTTTTAAGTGAAGAACAACAACATATAGTTGATATTGTGAAAAGGGGAAGATCATTGTTCTATACAGGGTCAGCAGGTACCGGTAAATCTGTGCTTTTAAAGAGTCTGATCAAAACTTTGAAAAATATGTACCCAGGACAAGGTGAAGTAGCTGTGACTGCTTCAACAGGACTGGCAGCCGTTAATATCGGTGGTATCACTCTCCATTCATTTTCGGGTATTGGTTTGGGTAAGGAAGATGCAGACAGTCTAGTGAAGAAGGTGAGAAGAAATCGGAAAGCTAGTCAACGGTGGAAAACTGTACGGGTGTTAATTATTGATGAAATCTCCATGATCAGCGGAGAATTATTTGACAAATTGGACCACATTGCCTGTGAATTACGAAGAAATGACAGGCCATTTGGAGGAATTCAAGTTATTTGTTGTGGTGATTTTTTTCAACTACCACCTGTTTCTAAAGAAGAAGAACAGGCAACGTTTTGCTTCGAATCAGACGCTTGGAAAAGATCTATGAAACTAACAATCACTTTACAAAAGGTGTTTAGACAAAAGGGTGATCTGGAATTCATTGATATGTTGAATGACATGAGGTTAGGGAAAGTGACTCCACAAGCCGAGGCGAAGTTTAGAGCTTTGGAAAGACCATTACCCGACAATGAAATCGAACCGGCTGAATTATATTCAACAAGAAGTGAGGTTGAGAGGGCCAATAACCTACGGTTGAAAAGTTTACCGGATTCAGTACATGTTTACAATGCTACAGATGGTGGTACGCTTACTGACCAGACCGCAAGACTGAAAATGCTGTCTAATTTTATGGCACCTGATCAGTTAGAGTTGAAGAAAGGAGCACAAGTGATGATGATTAAAAATCTTGACGAATCGTTAGTAAATGGATCATTGGGAAAGGTTATAGATTTTGTGGATAAAGACACGTATCTCTGCTATGAAAAGATATCAAGCGAAGGGTTGACCGAGGAACAAATCCAAAGTGAAGTCGAGAAAGCAAAGGCAAAGGCATTAGAAGGATCTACAGGACAAGATGAAGAAGTTTATGAAGGATTAGAAGAATCTGTATTCGATTTCTTGAGAGATATCAAGACTGATGATCCGGAAACTAGACGATCTATTGACAACAAGATTAGGTTAATTAATGAGCTTAAATCTATCTCAAAGGGTCATAAACTACCACTTGTTCGATTCTTAACTCCAGATGGTCAATCGCGTGTTGTGTTGGTAAATCCAGAAACATGGACTGTTGAGGATGAAAAGCAGACGCCATTGGTTTCACGTACTCAATTACCACTCATACTTGCATGGGCACTCTCTATTCACAAATCGCAAGGTCAAACACTTCCAAAAGTGCGTGTTAATTTGAAAAGAATATTTGAAAAAGGCCAGGCATATGTCGCTATTTCTAGAGCTGTTTCAAGAGAAGGATTACAAATTCTCAACTTTGATCAATCAAAAGTCTTTGCTCACCCAAGAGTTGTTCAGTTCTATGAGGAATTAAGCTCTGCAGCTGATGCCTTGAACATGGAGCAGGAGACGTTTGAAAAGTTTGAAGCTCATCCAAATAGCAAGGTACATCACAAGAAATACTCCACTAGAGAAAGGCCTCAAAGATCAAATAGCCATCGAAAGACAAATAATACTATGCCTGGAGCTTATCCACAATTTGAAGACTCTGACGATGATAAAATAATTGTTGGTGCTCGTAGGAGCAAAAGATCCCCAGGCATCACTGTTTCACCGGACGGACAATTCAGTGAGGTTGTTAGCAGAGTTCAGGCGGAGGACTACATGTAATTAGGGACAAAAACATATCAATTGAAACAAATTGTAGTTAACCAATGGAGTTCTTCATCCATCCCAGGCCATTGGAGAGTAAATTTTTGATTGGTGCACCGTTACCTTCTTGCATGATTTCATTTGCAGTAGAACTCAATGCTCTGGCCAATCTGGACTCTAAACTTCTAGATTGAGGTTGTTGAGGCTGATTGTCAAGTACAGGTAACGTTTCCTCTCTCAGTGCAAGGTCCATATCAAGTGATTTCCATTGAGTGATAACCACCTGGGAATGTTGGATTGGACAAATCAATAATACTTGGGATAGCAGAGAGAGTTGCTTTTCAATGATAGACTCAGGAATCTCGGTCTCCAGCCATTCCGGAGAGACATACTTGGCCACTTGGAACCATGTATACCAGTGTTCGGATTGAAGCACCTCAGATGAAGACATGATAGTTGATGATGCCAAATCATATGCATAGTCAAAATCACCATGCGCAAGGGAAGAATCGATACAGAAGCATCTTAGTTCTTCTTTTGAAGGGAAGGAGCTCTCTGGAAGACCATGGGATAGTTGGGTTAACAAGTGGTGCAGACCATCTGGATCAGTATATGCACCATCATTCAATTCTAGTATCTTTTGCACTAATTCTCTGACGTCAACAGTAAGTAAGTCTACTGGTTTGAATGGTGTTCCCCTTTTGAAGTAGATTGAATAGTGGAACAGTTTATCCACGGCATCCACAAATGTTAAAAGCTTTTCAACTTGGTTTGATCTTGGAGTGATTATCTTCAATGATTGATAGGCGTTGAACAGCTCTCCACGGTCCTTTGAACCATTGGTTGCCGTTTTAAAACAATCCCAAAAATGTTGGATGATTATTGGTTCATCTGACGCTTCAACATCCAAATCATCATACAGTTTCAATGAGAGTAGTTTATCCAGTATAAGTCTCTTTGTACTTGTGCTATCCAGATCCGGGAATATAGCCTGCTTTAATAGGTTGAAATGTGCAAGGAGTTGTCTCATCTCCACTCTTGATGCTGAGTCTGTAATTGACTCAAATTTTGAAAGCTGTAGCTTGTAATCATTGGATATTTTCTCCAAATCACCCAGTGTCTCATACTTTAGTGGGAACTCCATTGTTGACTTTACGATGTGTAATGCCCTTTCAACTGATCCATTTGCAGTACTCATCTTCATCACGTTTAGTGTGCTATAGATAGAATCTAATATTCTCGAATCTGGGGAGTTGAAGTTGTAAAACACTTCAAGGATAGCACTTATGGCGTCATCCTTGTGCTCTACTTCTGAGAATAACAAACTGATAACCTGATTGAGCAATATGAGCTCATCATGATCAACCACTGGGTGTATCAGTTTCAACAAGATATCACGATCCAGCGATGTCAAATATGTAATGAATTGCGGTTGTAGTTGCTGAGTTCCCGTGATTCTAAGAGTTTCAAGAATCAACTCTACTCGTTCCTCTGTTTTCAACTCTTCGAACTGCGATAAGCTAATATCTTCAGCTGTCGTTATTGATCTTAGGTAATGCAAGGGGACCAACACTGCAGAGTTCCATTGACTGAATTGAGTATCTTTCTTAACAGAGTGAAGAAGAACGTCCTCAAAATCGAGTAAGCTTGATGCATCCAACTTCCTAGCACGAGATTTGATAAAGGATATCATTGTGGTGTCGTCCAGTCCGTACAGCGTGTCATCTTTGTTCAGTTTGTCCACAATAGCGGTTAGTCTCCCTTCTAGCACCTCTGGTGATAGATCCAAGCTTTGCAATGCGATAGGGTCATCAGTAAGAGACGCTGGGATGTCAACAGCGTCAGATTTTGGCAATTTGAGCCATTCATCGAGGAATAGCAATTCCTGTGAAGGAGTCAATGGTGGAGTATAGCTCAACAACGCTTGAAGGACAATTCTCTTCTCGAAAGGCGCAACCCTTAGCAATTCTCGTACATTGGTAAAATCACCATCCACTATGAGATCAACAAGGACTACAAGAGCTTCAAAGTCCTGTGGTGAAGTCATTCTGATCAGATATATTCCACCCTTTGCAAATGTATTTGTTGTATGTTCTCGAGTGGTTAGGAGGGAAAAAAAATTACGACCCGAAGTAAGGTGTTGAAGTAGCTTAACAGCGAACAGAGCCATAATATCAAAAAAGAGCAATCATCAATTATCATGGCACTAAGACAGTCGGAAAAAGGTGTGTTTTCTCTTGATAGCGATATTAATCGTGTTACTAACATTTGTCATGAAGATAAAGTACTTCACAATCGTATTGAACCGCAGCGTATGCTTCCAGAAGGGACGACGGTATTTGTAAAGAGTGTTATCGACATCAATGACATCCAACTCGGTGTGCTATGCAATGATGCACCGGATATAAGTGTTGAGGAGCTGAAGAGGCTACGTGTTTCTCTAATTGAGAAGTATTCCATGGCGAAGACCAGTATTGAGCATTCGATGATTAGGTACAGTAGGGTGGTACAAGACTATCAGGACTTGACCAATCTATTGAGTGATTCCACGATTTCGAAGAAACGTGAGGAGCTGACGACGATCCTGTTCACTGCGAAGAAGTGTATAAATGAGCTTTCAAAGAAGAAGAAAGAGATCGAAGAGATCAACAACTACATTGGTAATTTCAGCGGAGAAGTGAAGGTTGAATTCAAGGAGGACGAATTAATCAAACACTTTGGAGACTATGCGGACAAAGTAAAGGAGTCACTGATTCAGACAGGGACTGGTGACGATGCTGTGTATTCATTGAATGCGGATGTTTCACGGCCAGTGCCAGAGCTCGTGCAGCTTCAGCAGCACCTTCAGCGTAGTGTTGATGAGTATACACTGTCTATTAAGGCATTGACCGAGAGCTATAAGGAGAAGGTTGCCAAATTCAACGCAATCAAGAGGATCATGGGCATAGAGGACGAGCCTATGGCAGATGCTGATCAGCAGGTGGATGACGTTGAACTTGTGGGTATTAATGATGACGACGAACAAGTCATTGAGTCTGGGTCAGATCTTGACGATGAGAAGGTAACAGAAACGTCTGGTGAAGGAGATGATGATATCGCTGGTGACAGTGACTAGGAGCTATATACACATTGCCAATTAGTACTGTTGAGTGTTGAGGATGTTTGGTTAGAATTGGGCTTTATCAACAGGCTTAGTCTAGTCCCAAGTCTCGGGACTTTGTTTTCCAAGAAAAAAGGCACTAAGGACTAGTCCCCACCCACACTGTAGAACTTTCTTTTTTTGGCCGAATCGCGTCATGGGAAGGAGACACGTTCTTCTCGTGCGACTGCGCAGTCAAGATTCTCAAGGTTTGAAGCCCCTTCCTTATTAGGAAAGAAGCCTTCATATTACGTAATCATAAACGCAAGTTCCTGTAAGATAAAACTTAGTTTTGAATAATGGGGGGTTAGTAGTGCTGAAGTCTGGATTGTTTACTTATATTTGTCTACATCCACCCTCTTCTTTACTACGAATACAAATACACGTAGATCTTGAACACAAGATGAAAGAGCTAAAATGGAAAATGGTTGAATTTAGCCCACCAGGGAGCACAAGAACTTCTCGATCACCAATAACATCGAAGATTCAAAAACCACGACATACATCGCACGCCAGCTCTGTAAGAGTTCCTTTAGGCTGTTTGGATCAGAATTTACTTCAAAGTGAAAATACACAGGCTTCTATCTCTGATGAATGTTCACCGATAAGTTCCAATAGTGTGTATCAAACACCGACAGTTTTACATTCCGGTGGTAGTTACAGTCAGACTGGCACTAGCTCAAGTTGTGTTCAGAACTCTTTTCACAGTGAATCGTCACCAGCTGTTCTTCCAGTGTCCGGCCAAGAACGTCAAGATAGTATGCTGAACCAACGTGCTTCCTCTTCTGCTCCCGTCACATCAGAGAGCAGCGAGGATCAACACAAGAATGCTGGTGCGTCAGAGAGTCAAAGTCAAAGTCAAGTTGCTGAACATATCTCTGAGATGGGGGGGACCAGTTGTTGAATCTGAATCAACTGACAACTCCGATATAACTAATCGGTTTTCTTTTGGTGTGGGACGTCATCTCCTTGCAGCCAAACTTTTCATCTTCAGAGGTGTTTTACAGTTGAGATTATTCTTACCGGTCTCCAATGTCAAACATCATGAAAAGGCAGTGTTGGAGCAACTTACAAACCTATACAACAAGAACTTCAATCCAAGGGTGAAGCTCAGGCGCCAAACTTTACGGAGCAGTTTGTTTCGGTGGTTGATCCAACACGGTGGGGCGACCCCAGAACTTCTCGGTATTAAACCAGAATCGAGGATGCTTGTTGTTCGTTCTACAAATGGCGCAACAAGAAGACGAGAACCTTCTATCGCAGCTACTGAAACTCATGATGATCAAGAAAGATGGTCGTCGGAATATACCCACAAAAGCTTTAAAACTCCATTAGAAGATATCGCTTCCAGAATCGTGCAAGATCTGAGATTATACCGCTACTTCTTAGAAGGGAAAACCATCGAACTCAACAAAAGTTCCCGTGAATCAATTCGGCATGGTACCAATGCCTATGCAGAAAGGGAAGCTGATAAATTTATTAAATGGAAGAAGAGTAAAGAAGGTGCTCCTAGTAATGATGATGCTTTATTGTCATCCAGTCCAACTGAAACTTGTTCAGATATTACTGCTTTCTCGGAGAGACATCAAATCACATTGGAAGACCTTAAGAATAAAGTGATGGGTGTTTATGATATTAACGATAAATCACGGATGGATGGTTTGGATGCGTTCTCCTTCACAGCCCATGGATTAGATGACTTCCGTAATATCTGTATCCCAGATTATGACGGGTCATTAAAAAGATGTATTGATAAATGCATGAACTTTGAGATTGCAGGGCTTCAAAATGTTGATCAAAAAGATATCGATGAGGTTATCAGTACTATAAAAGGAAGTTGTGGTGGTTACGGTCTGGTGATTGACCCGAAAGCACCAATGGCCCCTCTGCAAGCAATGAAGAGCATTGCTTCCGCTACATTAGATTTGAAGCGGGAGCTGGACTCCAACCAGAAACAACTCGAAGAAAAAATCGAGAAAGCGATGCAACTCATGCATAGTATGATAGAGCGCTTTGACAAGGAAGATAGTAGCTGATGTAGAATAACTATTTGGCAAACCAATGAATATATGATTATCAAGATAACCCATATACTAATACATGTAGAAGTTAAGACTTTCCAAAAACTTCTTGTTGTCATCGTAGTTGTAGTTGATTCCGTCATCTTTGTCAGTCACAACAGAGAAGAAGTCTTGGACTTGCGTAGGAGTAAATCGTTCAATCATCTCTCGTATGAGTCTTGATCCGGCAGTCGTTGTAGCAGATACATCATTCATCCTGTCGTGATCTGATAGCGCTAGGTTTGTGCGTCTTTGTATAGGATTGGTACCTTGCAGATTGTTGCTTGATGATTTATGCGTATCGAATATTCTCAAAACTGTTGTCTTGTGAAACTCACTGACGATCTTATGAAATGTGAGCACATCGTCTGACATTGTAGTTTTCTCAGATAACAATGAGTACCTTTTCTCTCTAGCCTCGATGGACATGCCCTCCGGTGGATTTATAACGATATAACAATTGTCACTCTCTTGAAGTTCTGTTCCTGTGTCGTATTGGTTCTTGAAAATGCGCAATTTAGAACCAAAATTAACCTTCGAAGAAACAAGCTCACAGTGATTAGGACGAAGATCAATATCATCAAGGTATTCTTCAATTGATTTCTTCTTCTCAGGTTTGAAGTACTGCGCAATTTGATTTGGCCTGAAGCAGTTCATCAAATTTAGTAGGAAAACGGAAACAATAAACTGGGAAGAAAGTTCAGATCTATAGAGATCGTTCGAGCGCTTGTCCACAACAAAAGGAAACGTATTCTCAAGTATACTGAAATCCCATTCAACTCCAATACGACCAGAGGCAGATACGTAATTACTCTCCTCTTTCTCCTGCTCCGTCATCTGTGCAGGATCGCGACCTTGCGATATCATATTGTCCAGTACATTCTGAACGAAAGCAGCGTGGTCATTTGCTCTCGAGCAATCAACATCGGACGACTCCTGTGATTGATCACTATGCTGTGTTCGATCTATTGATGTTAGAACATCATTTGTTGTTTGCAAAAGTCTGTGAGATTTGTCAATTTTCAAACTTGAGAGCATCTGATCTGACAAGCCATCCGTGTAACTTTTATCACCGTAAATCGGGTAAAGAGGTGGAGGTATTCTTCGAAACAGTTTGACAGTTCTCATCATATCAAGTAGTTTGGATTGTTGTAACATTGTTGTATCTTGAGTGGATCCGCCAACTGCCAGTGACAAGTGAGTAAAGAATCCTTCTGCATTAACAGCACATTGATATTTTAAGGAATATCCCTTTGGACCAAAGTACGCATCATGAATGGTAGTAGGTCGGTTGATTGGTTGATCGATACCACCAATAAACTGTGCCACTGTTTTGGCATCAAAGTTTGCAGTCTCTGCTGCACCTGTTTTATCTCTTTGACGTTCGTTCACTTTTCTATATATTGCATCTACACTATTCTTCAAGTTTTCCTCAGTCAAAGCTCCAAGGTCCAAATACAATTTCTTGTATACCTTTGCAGCAAGGTATTCTATGGCTAGATTGAAAATTGTTTTGATTTTGGTTTCATTGCAGCCAAAATCACGAGCAATTTGTTCATAGGTCGATGTCGACGATAATCGCCTGGTTTTGTTAGTATCATCTAAGAACCCAAACAGAAATAAAACCAGCATAACATACCTCAGAATGACCTTCCAAACAGTAAGATTATCCACAGTGCCAGAATGTCGATTGTGAAGCACAACATTAGGAAACTTAATGTAACAAGACAGTGCCCTAATCTCCATCTGACTGAATCTGAAACACGACATAGTTTCCTGCTCGTTTAAAAGCCTAAAATCCAAAGAGTCATGTGGGTCAAGCAGAAATGATTTAGGTTGTACAGAATCCTTTTCACTCTCAGCAAGAAGAGCATCTGCTGCGGCTCTGAACTCGAGATCCTGTGCCAAGGTCGTCCTGATTTGTGAACGATACAGACTCTCAAGTTTAAGTAGAGCACTTTCGTATATTTCGAGAGATTCAGAGGTTTCCATTACGAGCGAGCGATACCTCTTAAAATCTCTTCCTGCCTCGTTTAGTAGAGCCAAAACCTTTGCAGCGCTTTCAATCCTTTCATGTTTCCGTTTCCCCATGGTTTTGTCTGAAAAGTTGCCAACGCTGATAGAACATTTAGTTGATTGTCTTTGTTTTCTTCTAAGAAGCGCGTAGCTTTGCCTCAACAACAACAAAGCGTTAAAGTTGGAGTCTACATGGTTACCATGGTGACATAACGCCAAAGGGGACAACCACTACGGATGATTTTAACAACCGCCCACTCCATACAAACTTTCAACATCCAAAAGAGGAAAGAACCTTGGCTGGTAAGAAAAAAAATTAGTCACCCGCCGAGCCCTATTGATACCCCAAATCACATTAGCAAGCTATACGTCATAAGCTTTATTTTTTTCTCTGGGAGGGAGAGGGAGCAATATTGCGCACTCCGTGTTCCACTTGGCACCAAACAGGGAGGTTTTAAGGCTTATTCGTTTCCCCTATGGCCCAAAAGAGAGAATACGAAGCCCGTAATTTCATTGGACAAGCGAGCCGACAATAGCCTCCTCCCGCCTAAAATTTTCTCCTTCTGCCTACACATTTCCCACGCTTAGATCTACCGAAAAGAGGTTTCAAACAAAGAAAAACACACGGGACAAAAAGACAGAGTTCAAGTTCCTCAACGAGTGTGTCTGTTTGTCTCTTTTCCTTCCCATTTTATCATTTTCATTGTAATAAAAAAAGGCAGAGGCACAATACAGCACAATCTTGTCAAAAGGAAGCAAACTCCAGTGAGGAAGGAAAACAGCCAAAAAGACTTCTCTTTTGTCCAGTTTTTTTTTCTTGTCTCGCATTCTCGGTGCTGATATTTTTTTGTCTTGTCCCGGCCCCCCTCAGACTGCCGACGCTACCCCAGACTTTTCTTTTTTCCTTTTGATACTTTCGCTTTGAAGAAGACGAAAAAAAAGTTCAAATACAAACCGACCAAATCGTTGTAAGACTCATCCAATTTTGGTGAACAGAATACCGCAGCTTTTCTCCCTTATGAAGGACAATAAAGCACCGAAGACGTGAGTATCTTTCATTCATTACACCATCACAGCCACTGGATGTTTGTCGTTGTCGCCGTTGAGAGTGGCGGCGTGCGAGCCTAACCAAGCTTCTTTTGTCTGCGTGTGTGTTTTCGCAGTCTTCCATCCCCGACATAGTGTCGATACTAACCCCTGGCGTGATTTAGAAAAGTTATACGCACACCAGGATCGCAAGTGGAACGTGTGGCCCAGGCGTGTGATAGATGCCGTCTAAAGAAGACCAGATGTGATGGTAAAAGGCCTCAGTGCTCGCAGTGCGCTGCTGTTGGGTTTGAGTGTAAAGTGTCGGATAGACTATCCAGGCGTGCGTTCCCAAGAGGGTATACCGAGACGTTAGAGGAGAGGGTTCGAGAACTAGAGGCTGAGAACAAGAAGCTACTGGCACTGTTAGATCAAAAGGATGAACAGATGGATCTGCTGTCGAAAGTGGACTCAACAAGACAGCCACTAAGCTCATCGAATTTGAAGCTGCTGAATACGTCTCATAGTACACGAGGCGATGACTCGCGCATCGTTGGAGACTCCACCAATTACATCGACAATAACATCGACGAAGGACATGTACATACAGGGCCTGGCTGTTGCTCAAACTATCCACACTCTGTCCACGAAAGACCGGTATCTATTGCTGGCTCAGTGGATTTGGAAAATGGCGATTTCACAGATGATGATTCTATGTCATATGCTGGAAGCGTTTCGGACATTGACCACGTTTGCAACCCGAATAGTGTTTCATTCGAACAGAGTCAAGCACCAGGACTGAATGCTGCTTTGGCGATTGCTAGAATGAATAACGGTGGCGGCAAAAGGTTACAATTGGCAAATTTGGTTGCAATGTCCGTTCCAAGAAGCACAGAAGAGACTTTATTCATTCCAAGCTTATTATCCAAAATTGGTGAAGTTCATGGATTTGACAGTAAAGCCTGTCTTTCAACGGCAAGCACAATGGCTGCGTTGAAGGAGATTCCAAAAGTTTCCAAGTCAGTCCAGCTGAAACAGAACAATGTTATAAATTTCACAAACATTAACTTCAAGAACATCTCTTCAGCCGAGTCAAATTTGTTCTTCAACAACTTGAAACTGCCATCAAGTGTACAAATTGACCAACTCATCACCGTTTTCTTCCAAGAATGGGGGACAATTGCACCAATCATTGATAAGAATGACTTCTTGCAACACTATGTTCAATTCTCGAGGTCGTTGGAGAACAAGTTTATCGATAATACAATGCTACACAAGGAAAGATTTGGTGCTATATTGATCATCGTCATTCAATTAGCATTGTTCTCGCAGAAAAATCAAGATGGACCACACTGTGACCGTGATTTGATTCTATTTTATGACTACTTGATTCATCAGTTGATCAATTCTAATATCGCAACAACATGCTCTATCCAATCTTTACAAATACTTTCCTTGGCTCTGTTGTACTGCTTGAACACAGGTGATGTGATCACATCATATGCTTTAAGAGGGCGTGTGATAACAATGGCCCAACAGTTGAGATTGCACAGATGTCCTTCTGCTGTTCTGGGAAATACAGGTTCAGCAGTGTCAAAGTTCCAACAAAGTGAACGTCGTATTTTATTTTGGTGCATCTATACTTTAGATGCATTTGCATCTTTACAACTCGGTGTTCCTAGATTATTGAAAGATTACGAAATTGAATGCGCATTGCCATTTGCTAATGATAATCTAGATGATGACAATAATGTGAACATCCTTGTGGTTAACAATAACAAAGTGAGTCTTGTTGGTAAAGTTTGCAATTTGTCTTTGGCAATTATGAGATACTCTAAAGTTTTGGGAAATATATTGGACTTCATCTTCAAGAGACATTCCAAATCGAGCGGAAGTGGGTTGCTACATGAACAGACTCTTATTCATGAAGGTTTGTTGGATTCATGGAGACGCGATTTACCACCTAACTTGAAGTTCAATCTTGACGTGAATGGAATGCTGAAGGACACACAATTATCACAGCAAGATTCTAAAGTGTCGTTATTGGTTTTGCTTTATTATAACGCCAAAATGCTGATCCACCTTCCTATACTGGCATCGGAAGTGAATGGCTCTCGTGGAAGTGCATCGTATATCGTTGTTCAGCAGTGTACCATGGCAATGTTGAATATTCTATCCAACTTTTATACAAAGAAGATGTATTATTTGCCGGTGCCAATAAACATCACCAGAACAAAGACACGCTTGGCTGTCCTAAGTGCAAAAGGTGCACTAGAGTATACCCGTGGAGGTGCTTTATTCCAGGAATCGAAGAGTGTTCTACAGGACATTGTTAATGAATTGAAGGATGAAAATGTAAATGAAATACCAGGAAATTTGTCAAAGAATTGTGTCAACTTGTTGGAGAATGCCGTTGAAGCAATTTTGGCATCAAAGAGTGAAAACACTAGACAACGTAATGGATCTATCAGTGAGAAGAAGACCAAAGTTAAAGCTGAAAAGGCAACAACACCAATACCGACTCAACGTAATAACAGTGGATGTACCAATCCGTCGCCATTGCACAATTCGCAAGACTTCAATATTGATGTTGATGATAATTCAATCTCTCAGATGCTATCACAACTGGAGTCGGTACCTCCCATTGTCTCAGAGAGCTACGCATCATCCGTTACTAGTCACAGAATACCAGTCTCCATGCAAAATAACGGCAACAACAATGCATCTAATGGCAGTGCGTTCGGCACGCCTCTAGGGCAGTCACATTTCGATTACTCCATGAATAAAGTGGCACCATCTGTCGTATCCGATGTCAGCACTGATGACCATATGGAGTTAGATTTCGCTGCAGATGGTTCCTTGGGTTTAGCTCCGTGGTTAGACTTTGACCTTCCTATAGAGTTTGGTGCTGGTTCCACAACTACATCTACAAGCAATTTGGCAGCTGGTGGCTATACTTCCTATAACAATTATGCTGCTGCCGATGTTAAAGCTGAACCGCAAACCCACAGCAAGAAGGGTAGTGCAACTCTATTTGATTGGCAAAACAGTATGTAAGTAGTGATTTGGCCCAGTGACGATTATATATAGGTGTCTATGTCTTTATCATTCTAATTGGCCTCGTAGCGTCTATTGTTAGTGTTAAATAACTTAAATGATCTCTCTATCTTAACGTTTGTATGCGTGAACCGGATCCTGGGCAGTGTGGCTTGGAGACTGAGCTTCCGCCTAAATGCTGTCACATCATGGAATCATGGAGAAGTGGATCATTGTAAGTTGAAATCTGATCCCTCATGGTGGTTGAGAGTACCGTCTACGAAGCAAGATATGATGCTCAATATGAACGAGGTGCCTGAAGTATTTGGATCCAGTGTGGACATTAGTGGACATTCTATCTTCGCATTTACAGTTGCTGTATGACTTATCAATGTACCTGGTTAAGCATTACCAATCCTCGAGTCCCTTAAGAATTGAATAGACGGCGCACACCCCATCATACATCCTTTGAGCAATTGGTGGATCGAAGCAATTGAAATGCTTGATGATTCTCATCTCATTTTATGTCTTTCAGTAAACAAGTAGATGTTCCTCATCTAGTCCTACTATGATCTTTTTTGTCTTGTTTTTGGCAATTGGGAGATCGAATGTAGATTCATGTCAGTCGTAGTTTGCTGATCTCTGACGCACCATGAGGTGGTGATATTTCCTAATGATGAACACAAGTTTTCAAACCATGCTCTAGGTGGGTGTAATTTGACGTTAGCGTGAGATCCTGTACCAGTCCATACATCACCGGTTTTAGCATATGGGCTATGGCAGTATTAAACCTTGAATTTACTGTTTCATCCAAAAACATCAAATAGATATATACAAGCTCTGCACATCATCGCAGCCAACTGCAAAAGTATACACACTTATAGAGGTTCTCAGACAGACAAGCTTTTAAGTGGCATTAGCTTATCAGGGATCGACATACTGAGTTGTTACTGCAGTGATTTGGGACATACATATGGTCTAATATGAGACACACGCCCAACATAATTTACCACAGCAATTAAAGTACCTTGAACTTACGTGTGAATTTGACGTCCTTTTAGAACTGAGAAGAAGTTAATTCCAGTATCTGTAACGAGCCATACAGTTACGTATGTCCATTAGAGCCTACAATCGGTGTTAGTTGCTTCACGTGTTAACGCTAACTGTGTGTGATATTCCAAGGTAAAGAAAGGGGTACTTGGTTGCAGTTCCTTCATTACTGATTTGCTGTGGCTAGCATGTACTCCAAAATGGGTGTATCTTGAAGGGATCGGCGTCGTTGTTCGAAAGCTTAATAATTCTCACTTTACATTCCTTCTCCTTATGGTTTGTGAGGATTAACTCTATGAACTTTATTTCGCTATACCGTTTTGATCCATTTCTTCCGTACCAAAGTTCTACTATCGTCAACAAGGAGTGAGTACGACTTTGCGGTGTTAGTAATACAGAAATCCTTAAATCCACATCGGCTTGGATCCTACTGTTGATTTAGTAGTGTCGAAACTCTTCCACGACGTGAAGAGGACACGATTCGGTTTAATATGCACCGAGGGCCAACCTAACACTAGTGGAGCGTATGCAGCATGGACCATAAGTACGACGCCTACACCTTAGTGGTTGAAAGCCGTGACCGCTTATACGCCCACTGCTTAGACCATAAAAAACTTAATTGTATTGGAACATCTCCAGGTTTGGTGAGTAGCAATTTGGTGTAGTTGTGTACGAGGTCCATATTCGAATGGTACCAAATTATGATTTGGAAAGCGAAGTATATTGCAAGCTGGTTAAAAGTTCCAAGCATGTAAAGTTTTAAATTGTTAGTTACTGACACAGGTTGTTTCTGCATATTGGATTTTTTTACTGCAGTTGAAGCCTTTGTAAAAGTCGTATTTTTACCTGCAACTGGCACTGGGGCCTTGGGCTGATGATAATATGGTCTCTCTGAGTTGTGTGGCTTCTCTCCAAGCAATTTCATCTTTTTGTAAGTTGCCTTATTGCAAAAGGGACATATTTTAACTCAGAAGTTACATAGAATTGAACGTTAATCACCTTTATTTTTGTCCTTACTTCAAATCCCTTGTTTGTAAGTGACCGTTTACGTGTGACCTCTATTGTCTGATAAGATTACGCCATTGGCATATTGCTGTTGGTTCGACACTGTCAAAGACGATACAGCTGTTTCTAACCGAGTACAACTTATAACTGGGAGGGAGAGTACGTTGTGATTCAACGTATGCTACCTGTTGATCTTTACTGGTACGCCTTCTAGGACTTGAGATCTCGTAAGTCAAGGTTAGAATGAATATACAGAATTAGGTTGTGGTTTTATCTGGTTATCACATATGACCTAGGGCCAAGCAAACTCATAGCCAAAGAAAGTGTTGGTTACACTCAGGAGACCCAATATTTGGTTTCTGGTCTTCGTTGTTCATTGTTCACCACGCACACAAACCGTTTAGATAATTTTAGTGAATGGCATTACGGCATATCAGCATGCCTTGATCATTCTGAGACGAATTTTGACTTCTTGACTCATGACCAAAGTCACCACACGAATTTCGCCTTGTTTCGTTTCAGTTACGAACTATGTCAGGTAATCTTTGTTATCTTGGGTATCGATAATGATATCGACCGAAAATTCTGGGGTACGATATTACTGTTGATGACTGTGGAGGTTAATGTACCGCTGAGCATTTGAAATAGAGGCTTTTGCTACCAACACAAGCATATCCTTTTGTCTAAGGGTCCCTTATCCAACTTGTCCAAGCCTTAACTCTTAATATTTATCGTTCAAATATATTATTCAAGGCGGGCCATTTCAGCCAATAGGTCCGTTCTCACGCGTCCTTACGGCTTATTACTACTTGCTTCATAAGTCATTGCGCACAAATACATGTACAGTACTATGCATATGTAGTGCCTGCAAGCTCAACAATATTAAAATTTCAAAAAAGGGAATTGAATAATTTATCGCAGCACAGTTCATCACAGTCAAACAAGCGCACACTAGCTAATGTACGTATATTTACGTGTAACAGAACAGCTTTTTGGTTTAGTACATATCGCAAGCAACAAAAAATATCTCTAAGGTATTATTTGATGTCAGATCGTGTGGTTTTTGTACCAAAAGTGACATTTCATAGATCTGACCTGTCTTCACGACTAATAGAGTTTACAAAATGAGTCGTGCCATAAATAGTCAGTGTTAATATGCGAACATAACCTCTCTGTTAGTGAACACCGAACACGTCCAATCAACTTACACAATGATATTCCCACCTAGAAGCTCGTCTCAAAAGCTCTAGATGGAAAGAGTGTATCAACAAGCGATTCCTGTCCTCGTCTCCATGTGACTGTCATTAAATAGTAGTCTGTAACTCTTACTGACCTCAAAAGCACACAATTATTTAAAAGCCACCACCCGCGGTGCTACGCCAGCAATAAAGTTGGCAGGGCACCTGCGGTATGTAGAAGTTTATTTCTTCGAATGCACTTGTTATGCACGTACTAGTACCTAGTCAGTGCACTCAAACACGTTGATCAAGCATGGAAAATCTAGAAATGGCAAGAACTGGGTATATAGATAGGAGGTTTACCTTCGTTCATTGAATCGCCGTGGTACTTGAGCTTCCATTCTTCACGTATCTTTCAAACATTCCAATGTAAAGTTGTTTCTTACATGCAATAGACTTTAGCATATACATCCAAGATCCGAACATGTATAACCCATCTGCTCAACTTGACGTGTCCTTCTAAATTTAGCAAAGCCTATTTCCTTAATTTTTGGGTAGAAACTTTAAAAAAGATGATATTTCCATGCCGGACTGTGGGCGGTCTAACTGTTTCAACTTCCAATTTTAAAGTTTTCAACCTAGCCCTCCCATATTTGTCTTTTTCTAACAGCGCCTGTCTAAAATGCGCGCGTATTGAGAGATCTCTCAAATCTCAGCATAACGCACGGGGCAAAATTGAACAATTTTTCCATAATGTTTCGCAAGAGAATTTCACAAAATATGCACATCAGAGACCAAGACACGTCGTCCACAATTACGCCCGCATGTCTCATACAGGTACGTCGAAGCATCTTTTGGATACAACCTTGAACGCAATGTCCTCTTTAGGATGATGGACTAAACCAATTCCTCCCCGTCCCAACATCGTATGTCCTTTGAAACTTATTTCTTAGTTAGTCGACTCCAAATCTCCCTCCGCCTGGCCAGAGTATCCGTGATTCTTTTCCAACCGCACTATTGCCACTTATTCCACATCAACTCAATTAGAGTATTAAACCTTAATCAGAACGATCTTCTGTCTCTTTATCCCTGCTTCTCTTTAGGGAAACACAGAGGGGACCAAAAAATTCTGAGACAAATTAATACACCGGACGTCTTTTTCTTTGTATCTAAGGGGCGCGCCGGTCTGTACTTTTCAGTCTGTTTTTAGGACAAAGGAGAAGTTTAAAATTTCAAGATTTCCCTTTTCTGCTTCAAATCTCAACCAAAACTTGGTCAACGCAAAAAACCATAGTTGGTAATTGGAGGAAGCGAAGAGAAGGACGAAAGCTTCTTTGAATATACAAGTCCCTTGTGTATATTTTTCAATTTGTTGCCATTCTGTTTTGTTGCATTGTCTTGTTGTGAACCCACCAGAGGGAAGTATAAGAGCAGCAAAGACTACCGTGGACACAAGGACAGCCACGAAAAAAAAAAGAACACACGCGCAGAAGAGGAAGAAGAATAAGAAGAAAAGGTAGCAAACCACCTGCACAACTGTGACATTTCCTGGTGTATATTCAGTCTCTCGCTTAGTAGAAGTTGACAAAAACGATGCAATACAATCCATACCACCAGCAGTATTACACAGACATCCCGTCAGTGCCTCCACAATCACCTTTCGATGTGACCTACGGTGCGTCGTTGTTACCAAGACACCTGCTGGCATCATCACCGTTTGTGTCCTCGACACCAATATCACCGATTCCAAAATACAGGTATAGTGGGTATCGCCAGGGCGGTAGCGTGCCAAATGGAAGAGTGCCATATGGTGCTATTCAACAGCAACAAGTCTATCCTTCGCATGTGTCTGTTCAACAGGTTCCATACAACCTGCCGCAACAGCCAGGGTATGTCCCGGTATTATCTTTACCTGAACGTAGAGGTATGCAATCGTCTGGCGCATCTGCTCGTGGTGTTGGCAGACACAACGTGAAGAAGCTCACACTCGCACAGGTACACGAGGAAGAAGCGGTTGAAAATGGACCAGATGGTATCCAAGACGCGTCGTTACCGGTGGATGAAGAGCAGCAAGATATTGATGCAGATGATGCAATCAATACCCCGTTGAAGAACAAGACGAAGGGAAGTAAGCCATCTGGTACGTCGTCCACGAGCTCTTTAGGTGAATCAACCTTTGATTATCAGCCCCCTCATCCCCTGGTTTTCCATCCAAACTCCAGTGAAAGTTCGTTCTACAACTTGAATTCCCCCAACACGGCGTCTTTTAGCGCTATCAATGTGTCCAAAACGCCGACTAGATCGATCATTATGTCCTCCGTTGATCCAAGTGTTTCAATTACGAGCTTTTTGGACTGCGTGAAGTTTGGCCCTATTGAGAGTGCAAGAATTGCTGAGGATTACCCAGACCCAGGCGTTAATTCGATTGCTCTTACTTTTCTAAAGGTTGAAACGTGTTTGCATTTCTACAATAACCTCTTGACGTATTTTGCCAAGTTCAAAGATTCTATCCACTCTCCAGATTTGACAATCAATTTCGCCAATTGCAAGAAGCTATTACCGTTCATTGCAAATGCAATTAACAACGATGGTGCAACAAGAAACGTTTACATTGGTAATTTGACCCAGTTAAACAGGCATATATCCACGGAGTTTTTATCAAGTGAGCTCACCAAGTTTGGAATCATTGACAAGATTGACTTGATTGATAAGGGTACTGGAGAAGAAAAGGAGGTGTTCGCATTTGTGCATTTCACAAACGTTGCATCAGCTATAAAAGCTGTTGAGCAGCTCTCTTTCAGCTCTGAATGGGAAAATTGCAAGATTTTCTATGGACCTGATAGATGTTCTGTGGAAAATGATAAGTTTGCCCGCTCGTTGACTGATGAATGTTATGTGGATCCTCCACCTGTAGCAATACCGGTTCAAACACCGGTTTGCTACTCAGATGTGTATCTAGATGAAACTGCAAGTGCTTATGGCCAAACTGAGGGATTTGGCAGTGAACTATGTGAATCCCCATACTCAGAAAGTTTCCATCCTCTTGCTGAAGATAGCATTGTTAACGCCTTGAACCAAAAGTCTGTCACTGCTGCTGCAGTTGCATCAACATCTGGAGGCCTTGAGAACATTGGAAACAGAACGATTTGTATCTCAAATCTAGACCCATCAACAAAGGTTGAGGACATCTGTAATACAGTACGTGGTGGTTTACTTCAAGTGATACGGTTCCTTCCGGAGAGAAAGATGTGTTTTATGACATTTGTGGAAGCAGAGGCTGCAGCGCAGTTCTTTGCCAACGCAAACATACACCCAATAATTCTTCATTCCAGAAGATTGAAAATCGGGTGGGGTCATCATTCTGGTCAACTACCCAACTCCATACAATTGGAGGTGTCTGCAGGTGCTTCGAGAAATGTCTACATTGGTCAATCTACTGAATCGGCTGATGCTGAGAACGATGAGGTACTTCCTGATGAAGCAATAATACGTAAGGATTTTTCAAGTTTTGGAGAAGTTGAGCAGATCAACTTTATTAAGGATAACAAGGCTGTTTTTGTGAATTTTTTGAATATTTCTCATGCCATAAAGGTTGTTAAAGATGCAAATGGTGATTTCGAGAACGACTTCCACGAGTATTTTGAGAACAGGTACCGTGGGTTTAAGATCAACTTTGGTAAAGATCGTTGTGGAAATCCTCCAAAGGCCCGCAAGAAGAAGAAACCTAAGAAGAAGAGGCAAAGAACAGAAACATCCCGTAACGACAGAGCTGAGTTGGAAGAGAACTATTCCAAGCATGAAACCTTTCCAGTTGAGCTGTTTGCAAGCATGGGTATTTCTTCTTCGAAACCTCACGGCGACGATGGGGACAATCACGAACCACTTTCCCCTACAGAGTCTCACAGCAGCAATTCCTCGCAGTTAGAGATTATCACTTCTCAGCCATACACACCGACATCATCCAGACCACACTACAACCGTACATATTCCAGGGGAACGAGAAGAAGTAATTCACAGAGTTTCATCTCACGCGCTGGATCAACCTCTTCTTTTGGCTCGATGTATTATCCAGATGACCGTCTTCAACACCCACAACACTACCAGCAGAATAACCATGGTCTTTACTCAAATCTGTTTGCCACCACTGGCTCCCAAATTATGGCCCAATACTTAGCTCAGACACAGCATGCCAACATGCTGTATGCAGCAAATGTCCTAAACATGGCTGAGCTTGGCGATGATTACAGAGCAAGAAGACGTAAATAATAATTGGGTTTGACGGGCACATAAAAACACAACACACTAATAAAATAACTTATTAATGTCGTGATGACAATGATGTTTCCAAATCCTCCATATCCCACATATTCACTCCTTTTCTTTCCTCAAATGAGCTCCATCGGACAATCCATAGTCCATGGCCATTGTAGTATGACGTGGCTCTCCCGGCTGAACAACGTGATGAAACTGGCTTAATAAAAGGCTGGGCGCCAGTAGTGCGCGTAGACGTCTTCTGTATGCATCTTCGAGGAGAGGACGTCAAGGCAGCAACAGAAGTCACTGTCGCCCCCGGCCCCAAGTTCCTTAGGACACGAAGAACAAGAGAAAAAATAGTGTCCTCCTATTGATCAGCGATAGAGCGGTAAACGCCCCTACTCACGCCGGGCTCTATTTATAAAGATAGCTGAAAACACGATCTTCTTCTGAGACAGGTGTACCCAGACAGCTTCTAGACGACAGGGTTTGTTACACGATGAGTGATTACACAATTGATGAGCTGGTGAAGCAGTGGTTAGCAGTGGACCGGGTAAGTAGCCAATTTTGGCCGGCGAACAGCGACCGGGTACTAATAATAAACATTATAGAATACAGAGACAAGAAGGGAGATCCAACACCTCTTCAACACGTCTAATAATGTGGAGTTGGAGCACAGGCTGCGTAAGCGTATCCATTTCGGCACTGCTGGGCTGAGGGCCAGAATGGGCGCTGGTTTTGCCCTAATGAATGATGTTACTGTGCTGCAGGCATCGCAAGGTCTAGCACAATACGTCTTGAGCGTCCATAAAGGTGGAGAGCCTGTGGTTGTTGTTGGCCATGATCACCGGTTGAATTCGAAGAGGTTTGCAGAGATCACTGCGACAGCGTTTATACTGAAGGGGTTCGATGTGAAGTTCCTGTCGGATAGTGATATCGATAAGGGTCTTGTTCCAACTCCGTTGGTTCCATTTGCGGTGGATTTGTACAAGGCAACGTGTGGTGTCATGATCACCGCCTCTCACAATCCTGCTTTGGACAATGGTTATAAAGTGTACTGGAATAACGGGTGTCAGATCATACCACCGGTCGATCAAGAGATTGCCAATGAGATCTTGAATAATTTGAAACCTGCTGAGCGAGCATATGACTTGGAATACGTGATGCAGCAGGCTTATCAGGACACACATCTGTCATATGTCAAGGAAGATGTGATTCAAAAGTATATTGACCATATCAGATCGACCCTTGTATTTAAAAAAGTTGATATCCCCTTTGTCTATACCCCAATGCATGGTGTTGGCTTGGAAGTGTTCAGCAAAGCTTCGAGCCTTCTTGGTATATCGAATTTGAAATCTGTCAGGGAACAGAGCATACCCGACCCACTTTTCCCAAGCGTGAAGTTTCCAAATCCAGAGGAAAAAGGTGCTTTAGATTTGGCCATCAGAACTGCTACACAGGAAAACGTTGCTTTGGTTCTTGCAAACGATCCAGATGCTGACAGATTCAGCTGTGCGGTCAAAGATTCCAGGGGTAATTGGAGACAGTTAACGGGTAATGAGCTGGGTTATCTTTTTGCATCTTACATGCTTCAAACTGTTGATAAGACGAAATGGGATAAAGTGTACTTGTTGAACTCCACTGTTTCATCGCAGATGATTCGCTCGATGAGTGAAACCCTGGGCTGTCATTATACAGATACGCTCACCGGATTCAAATGGATAGGGAACAAGGCCATCGAGTTAGAAGGAGATGGATATATAGTTCCATTTGGGTTTGAGGAAGCAATTGGATTTATGTTCCCAGGCATCCACGACAAAGACGGTATCTGCGCAGCAATTGTGTTCTTACAGATGGCTCAGCAGTGGTATGAAGAGGGCACGAATGCATTGGACGTACTAGAGGATGGCTTCAAGAAGTTCGGGTACTTCAAGGAGTATAATTCGTACTACACGGTCCACGACCCCTCCTATACTAAGACGATATTTGACAAGTTTATAAGATCAAGTTATGACGAGTACCCAGAACGTATTGGTCGGTTCAACGTGGGCTACTGGAGAGATCTCACAATTGGCTACCAACTGGGCACTGCAGACAATAAGCCTGACCTGCCAGTGGACCCTACTTCTCAGATGATAACAGGAAGGTTGTACTTGCCGGAAGAGAAGGACGTTGTTGTGAGCTTCACCATGAGAGGCTCAGGCACTGAACCTAAGCTGAAGGTGTACGTCGAGGCACAGGCGTCCACGGGCGAAAAGGCTACGAATCTTTCAATAGAAGTATGGAAGACCCTGAGATCACAATGGTTCAAGCCTGAAGTGACCGGACTGAAAGAAGCATAGTTGCCGGTGTGTCACAGATGTATAAGACACTTTTGAAATATAATCGCTACGATAACTGCTATCAAACAAATGTCCTGCATCATTCATGAAAACGTGCCATTTAGAGCCCCTTGGAAAGTCTAGGAGACAGCAAAAAGGTGGTGATTTATGTAGAAGAGCATGAACGCACTCCTTGTGTGTGTCTATTGAGATGCGACAAGACAGTTGATGAGGATGTTGCGCGCACTGTTGATGTCGTGGTCGACAAACAGGTTGCACGAGGCACAGCAGAAGGTGCGGTCATCCAGAGACAGTGTGTGTTTTATTCTCCCGCAGCATGTGTATGTCATGCTCGTGTACTCTTCAATCATTCTCGAGAGGTGTGTCCCCGTGACTTGATATTTGAAGGCGAAATGCTGGTAAAAGGCGTGATACAAGCTCATGATCAAGTTTTTGTTCATCCCACGGCTTCTGCTCATGCTGACTAATTCTTGGCTTTGGGATGGTGGTAGCACGATGTTTTCGTAGGATGATGTTAGATGTTGTATGATTTGTCAAAGATCATCAGCCATCATGTTTTTTTGTATGGTTTACAGCATTGCTTTGACTTCCTCGCGGTCTGCATCTCGCCTATCCTCTTCTTTAACGCCATTATTCTCTGGCTGTGCAATGAGAGATGAAAGGAGTGCCCAGCGTGCTCTTCAGGGTTCAGCTTAATGTTTCCAGTTATATCGGCGTCATAAGATATCTTTCACTAACAGTTGGATGTATGGTGTCCTTTTTGCATGGTGTGGCTTGTACAGTAGTTGATATGATAATGACAATAAGAATAATCTTGATAACAATATAATTCAGAAGTATAAGAGATGAAGCTTATGTTCTAGGAACTTTATAAACGAGAAATATAATGGTTCAAGGAGTGGCTTCTAAACCATTGTAGAGAAGTACTCGAATCTTGAGTATTCGTGCTTCATGTTGTTTTCACATCCCAAAAGGATGTGATAATTGTAAAGTGTTACATTAAATCACAGTTGATATAATTCAGTGATAAGTCCGGAAATCGAGTCGGAAGGTCGAATATCACGGCAAAGTGGTAGAGACACACACCTTCCAGCTGCGTGAACAACGCGTCGTGAGCGGATGGTCTACACTGGCTCATTATGAGGAGAACATCCCTTCCCTTCCGGAATAAATGGCAGACAACACGAGCGAGATAAGCAGCTTGTCAAATATCCATTCTATGCTTCGTAAAATGTTCCCAGTGGAAAAGGCCGTAACTTCTAGGCTTGAATTGCCTCTATCGGACACTTTTCCTGCCACAACCAGGGTTTTGCTGCCATTTTGCTGTGCCTTTTCGTGCCCCAACAGCAGTTTCACATCTGGCGCAAAAGTCTCCAAAAGCCTACAAAGGACACTTTTTCTCTAACAGTGTCCGTATCGTTGTCTCCATGAAAACCCTTCCAAACACGCCGATTTGTATACGTGTGATCCGCTTTTGCTGTGTAATCTGAGATTAGACCAATTACAACTGGCAACCTCAACTCCTCTCGCTATACGCACAGGCTGCCTTTGACACACGGATAAGCGGTCTGAACGGCTTTGTGAAGATGTTTCATCCAAAGAAAAGTGATCTTCCATTGCAGTAAGTGAGATTGTTTGCACAGTGTCCGCGTGAGACCCAAGCTAACTTGTTTTGATAGTCAGTTCCATCCCAGAGAACAGCCGAAATTGAAGAAATGGCTAAAGAAACCATTGGTGTATGCACTGACAGTGATACTGCTATGGTGGTTTTTTTGGCCTTCGCACAGTGAGGTACTCCACTATTCAGACGAGGAGAAGCTACTGAGAGCCATGGACTTTGAGAGGTTGAGTAAATATGACGAGGGAGTGGACAAATGGTTGATAGATCACGAGGGCACTGTGACCCAGGGTACACCGCAGTACACTGAGTATTTGAAGGATAAAGAGGCATTATACCACTCCACTGTGGAGTATTGGGATCTCAATGACTATCAAGGACACCCAGACGGTGAAGAACAAGGCGATTTGATCCTGCTATTGATTCCGCTGCGTAACGCAGAATCCGTGCTGCCCTTGATGTTCAAGCACATGATGAACTTGACATATCCACACTCGTTGATTGATGTTGCCTTCTTGGTTAGCGACTGCTCACCAGACGATCATACTTTGGAGGCGCTTTTTGACTATTCAATTGCTTTGCAACACGGTAATTTATCCAAAGTCCTGGACCTAGAGGATAAGGAGAAATCTGTAAAGGGATCTACTGAGCTACACCTCAACTATATGAGTCCCGAGTACTTGGATCAAAGAGAAAAGTCGTTTGCTCCGCCATTCCACAAAGGTTATGATACACCTTTCAGGTCAGTTGAGATCTTCAAGAAGGACTTTGGACAAGTTATCGGCCAGGGATTTACAGATCGCCACGATGTGAAAGTACAAGGTATCAGACGTAAACTCATGGGAAGAGCACGTAACTGGCTGACGGCAAATGCCTTGAAGCCTTATCACTCTTGGGTCTATTGGCGTGATGCCGATGTTGAGCTTATGCCCGGTGATATCATCCAGAATTTGATGAAATTCGATTACGACGTTATAGTACCGAACGTTTGGAGACCTTTACCGGAATTCTTGGGTAAGGAACAAGCATATGATCTCAATTCCTGGATGGAAAGTGAACAAGGTTTAGCATTGGCCAAGAAGCTGGAAGAAGATGACGTTATCGTTGAAGGTTATGCAGAATACCCAACATGGAGAGTACATCTTGGTTACATCAGAAAACCAGATGGAAACCCGGATGAACTTGTCAACTTGGACGGTGTTGGAGGTGTATCCATCTTGGCAAAGGCTAAGATCTTCAGACAAGGTGTACAATTTCCAGCTTTTACTTTCCTTAACCATGCTGAGACAGAGGCCTTTGGAAAGATGGCGAAGAAGATGGGCTTCAAAGTTGGTGGATTACCTCACTACACCATCTGGCATATTTATGAACCATCTGAGGATGATCTAAAAGAGATTGCTAAAAAGGAGCGTAAAAAACGGAGATCCGGGAAACGTGAATGATCTAGTTGAACAACGTTAATAGTATTCTCATATGTTGATATTCTTGGAGCACTATAGAGAAAGAGATGTGATTATATATATGACTACAGTGTGGTGTGAATATAATGGTGTAAGAATAAAGGAAATCAACAAAACATGCAAATATACGACTAACGTCTTCTCTATTTGGAATGATGGTATGAACTTCGCCATAACAAAGATCATATAATGTAATTGCAGTTATATCTATATGGTAGCTAACTGGAAACTGCAACTGGTATCACAAATTCGGTGACAGAGAAGAACTGAACAAATATCAAGAAATATAGAGGTGTCAAACGGGAAACGAAGTAAAATCAAATGTCGATCAAAATCAACCACTTTTTTTTTTCCTTTCTATAGTAAAAATGCCAAAACTGATACGAAGATGGTTGGTAATGTAACTGTGAGAGCCAAACCATCACCACGATAAGTGGAGCTACTTGTCGTTTGAGATGCCGTGCTTGTAGATGTCACTAGAGACGATTGTAGCTCTGTAACATTACCATAGTAAGCCTGTGATGTAACGCTTGAAGATGAAGAAGTCTCTGTAGAAGTCAATATAACGTTATCATTACGGGTTGCAAAACCAACTTCCTGCTCCTCAAGATTAAAGTCTGCATAGACTGTTTTCAAGAACACGGCCCCCAAGATCCAGGACTCCATTCCCTGGATACCTTGGATATTTGAGACACAGTATCCGTAGAAAGGTGAATCAGATGCGTAGGGATCTCCGAGGTATTCATCAGCAGTCAAAGTCCAATTGTGACCATTTAACTGTAAGTTAATGTTGAGTGTGCTGTTACATAGAACTGCGAAATTTGTACCGTCAGTGATGGACAGCTCGAAGAATGTGTGTAAATCCAATGCGTCTTGTTCAGGCAAGGCCAAAACCGTGGTACCGGAATCAACTATAGCAGCACGTGCAATGGTTGATTCAACTCCGTTAATAGTATCTGATTCGTTAAACTGAACAAGTGTATCGCCAATAACCACTTGCTCTATTTGAATCTTCCAGTATGTTCCAGCGTCATTCAGCAATGAAGAATATTTGATTTCACCTGTGTACAACTCTTTGATGGGTTCACCAATGGCAAAGATCCCTGCGTTGTTAAACTCTGACGATGAATTTTCCTGTGAGATACCAACCTCGCCTAATGCGATTGAGAACCTTTTCGATGCAATGGCGTTAGAATCGTACAACGCCGAAATGATACTTTCAATGGAGGAAGAATCTGAGGATGGAAGTCCAAAGATACCGGAAACTGGATAACTTGCAAAGAAGTCTGGCACTTGATCTGCAACACCAAATCTAAACTGCTCAGTTGTTGCCAGTCTGTTAACAATGATGTTGTCCTGTACAACTTCACCAGATGCGGTACCAGTGACATATGCCAGAGCAAAGGTCTCCGTTGAAGTTGAAGCTGAAGACGCTGAAGGGGTGTAGACAGAGGCCGCTTGGCATAGCTCCTGCTGACAGTCATCACCGTACACCCATAGATAAGCAGATCCAGTGTCCACAATCAAGGGGAACACAGAGGTCCCAATTGTTGTGTTTACGAAATAACATTCATGGTTCTGGTCGGTCTGTAGCAGCGATATGCCAGGAATCAAATTAAGAATTACAGGCGAAGAAGCATCCCGCTGTACTGTGTCAATAGCGTATGAATCGTCATCACTAGTGGCAATTCGTATTGTCTTTACCGATGTTGATGAAGACCCGCCGTCTTCTGTATAATCCGAGACATATTTAACAGAGCCGTCGTCTTCCTCGATGAAGCGGTTCTCCAAAGTTGGCAAGAGACCACTCACAGTGGACGCTAACACTGCCAGCAGTTTGAGTCTCATGATGAACAGGTGACGAAAGATCCAATTCGAG